AGTTTCAAAAATCCAATAGATTTCGTTCCACTTCACAATTGTGTCCCACTTGTTGGTGATTCTTCACATAAAATAAAAAAATTATATCTTTATGTTTGAAGCCTGAAATGTGGCAAAAGGTTGAAAAGTTCAAGGGGGCCGAATACTTTCGCAAGGCACTGTAAATGTCAATGTTAGATCATTGAATTATTATATTGGTTTTAATTCTTAAATCCCAGGTAGCCTGTGCTACTACAGGTGGCGTGTGCAGTATTTCTTGCACTGAAGCTCAATTTTAAATTATCTACATTGAAATAAATTTGTATCTACAATATTAGATGCATGGATATTATACATGAAATCAGCTATAAATATAAAATGGGAAACAACGCTCACCACACATCAGCTATCAGTGGGGAGGTGAGCAGAGTAATGAAGCCAATTCATAGATGAGGATTATTAGGAGGCCATGATTGGTAAGGGCCAATAGGAAATTTGGCCAGGATGCCCTACTCTTTTCAAGAAACGCCCTGGGATTTTTAATGACCACAGAGAGTCAGGGCCTTGGTTTTACATCTCATCCGATGGACGTCACCTTATTACAGTATAGTGTCCCCGTCACTATACTGGGGCATTACGACCCACATGGACTGCAGGGTGAGTGCCCCCTGCTGGCCCCACTAACCTTAGTTTTTCCTGGGAGGTCTCCCATCCGGGTACTGTCCAGCTCACACCTTGTTTTGTTGTTTTCAATTTATCTTTGGTAGAGAAAGAAAATGCTCAGATAAAGAGATATCAAAGAAATAACAAAGCAAAAATAGAAACTGAGAATAAATGGAATATTATTTCTTCTGTTAAGGTGTCCTTATGGCCTTCAGTGCCTGCTTAATGTCAAAGTGCTACTGTCGAGATTTAAAGACTCTTTAAAGTCCAAAGCTGTTTGTCATCTATAAGTCAGTAATATAGTCAATACCGTACTTGTATATCCATCTTGTTTAGGATCAAGGCCAGGGACCAATTTAATATGAAACAACACTGAACTGTTTACAAGCTCAAAGAAATAAGGATGACCTCTTTGCTCAGTAACTGTCAAGGCTGCAGGTAATAATACAGTATGCTTTTTGTCACATGACTGTTGAGTCAGACCAGCAGCAGTACCCATGTGAAGTCTGACATAATCCGACCTCAGATATTAAGAATTAGCCTGGGTTGCAAGGTATTGGAGATTGTCCATCCATCCATTGTCTAACTACTCCATCCAATTCAGGGTCATGGGGGACCCGGAGTCTATCCCGGCAAACAATGAGTGCAAGAAATGATACAGTACATTCTGGACAGGATGCCAGTCCATCGCAGGGCACACACAGACAAGTTACCCCACACCAGGTTCAATTTTCCTAGAGCCAAGTAACCTACCAGTGAGTCTTTGGAGTGTGGGAGGAAACCAGAGTACCTGGAGTAAGCCCACGTGAACACGGAGAGAACACACAGAACCCACCCACACAAATAACACCCCAGGTCTGGATTTGAACCCTGGAACTCAGCTGTGATGCAACAATGCTTGCCACCGTGTCACTTACCAAGGAATAAAAGTTTGCTGTTGGCATGCCAGCACATTAAAGAGGCCTGTTTCCATGAAATTCCAAACCAGTGTTAAAGTGTAGTGAAGGCAACACTTTGCTGTAGAAGGTTTTGTTTTCCACTTTAAATGTTCAGTCAGGGTATCTAAGGAGTTGTGGTCTTTAAAGATCTCAGGTAACTGCCTGAAAGTATAGGTATCCTCCTATCCTAATGGTGGTTCAGTTCTTCTTAGTTCTACATTTTTCCTCCTTGCCACCAGGTTTTAGTGACTATGACTTGTCACATTTCCACCTTACCTGTCACTTTTTCTGTAACTCCAGTGTATGCTTTTTCAGTAGGAGGTGAAGTGGGTCTCTGTTGCAATGGTTAATTTAGATAAAAAGCACAAGGTATAGTACAGTATATGCAAGTATATATGCAGTGTAAGTACTTCATATACAGTATGTATATGTACAGTATGTGCATATATAATATACAGTATATATACAATTATTTAAAATATACACAAGTGCAGTGTACTTAAGATATAACATTCTCTTTTTTTCCATTTGAGTGGGGCATTGTACACCCACCCACTTTGGAATTGCCAGTTGTATCTTTGCCTTTCACCTCAGAGCATCTAAGACATGCTCATCGTATTTCCTCACACATCATTCCATTATTTGACACACAGGAAACTTAAGCACCTCAGAGTAAAGTGGTTTAATAGAAATTAAGCTAATTTCTAATGGGGTTTACTCACATAGTATGGCTCCACTAAAGAAATTTTCAGGACTGTCTTAAAATTTTCAACATTTTTCTTTGAAACAAAGTTGTTTTAGGTTCCGTAGATTGATCACATGGAATATGAACATTTTTGGGTTTGTAAGAAATGTCCCAACTCTGTGTGTGCTTTGCTGATTGTAATAAATGAGCTCATCGGGAATCAAAACTAGTTGCTACATTAAAAGTCTTTGGGGCCATAAACGAGCTATATTTCAGGTGTGCTTACTATGCATACGGTATCTCTGCATACTGTGAGTTATATGATATACAGTCTCTAGAGAAAATGTTATAGACTTGTAAAGAATCTCAAGGGAATTGTAGGCTATAGGAATTATACATCAGCTAAATGAAGTTGGCCACATGATTTTAACAGTCACATGTGAGCTTTGACCTGTTTTTCTGGTCAAATGAGGACAGAGAGGGTTGCAGTGGAACACAAATAGGAACTCTTATGTGCTTTTACAAAACACTCTGCCAGTGACCTCTAATCTTTCCTACAGTTGGCTGCCAAATCTTTTAACTTACAGAACACATAAAGGTTTATGTTTTTTTCTGGAACATACATAGGAAGCCATTGTGTAAACCTGAAAAATATCCTTACCTACAAAAAAGAATATTATTATTTTGGTCTCTGATGATCGCTGCGTGCAATCCATATTTATTATTATATTGTGTTTTGCCTGGTAACAACGGTACGAGGTACCAGGACCCTGGCTTTTCATTAATAAAAAATGTTGTGATGTTGTTCTAACCTACAGTTAATACCAGGGGTCTGCAACCTACACACACGTGCCATTATTAAGATAAGATAAGATCACTTTATTAGTCATATTCAATGCCTTGCATTATTAATTCGTCTTTTCGCATACCCCAACTTGCTCTCCATGAGACACACAGGCACAGGCTGCAGAGCCACTACTCCACCCCCAATCCCTATTGGCATGCAAAGGGATTTTGGCACGGGAAATAAAAGAGGCACATGTAATGAGAGTCTAATAAGCCACAAAGAATTGTCAGGAATCCTCAATGAAAAGGTATACAGATCCTGTGCAGACGCAGGAGTAGGTAGGTGATGAAGCAGGCGAACAATCCGGTACATAAGGCGAGTCCGTAGTCAAAAGGAGAAAGGTGGTTCGAAATCCAGGAAGTACAAATAGTGGCAAACAACCCGAAACAAGAGGCGAGGTCCAAAGGCAAAAGGGAAGTTCAGAATCCAGAAGAATGCAAGGTACAGAATAAACGGCAGGTAGAGCTCTCAAGGAGTAGACCCAATACAGAGCAGCGGGAAGCGGGTTAGGATGGTTTTAATAGTGCTGCTTGCCCCATGGTAGAGTGTGTGCTGATGGATTAACATGTGCGGCGGCGCTTGTAATTATTAACCCGCTGCTGGTACTGGTTAGTTCTTTTGTGAGATGATCTCCACTGGCTGGTGGTCGTGACAGAATCAACAAAATATTTTTTTGACGACTGATGGTGCCCCTGCTATGGTTAGAAAACAGAAGGGATTTGTAAAAATCATTGCTGATCACACTAGCCACCCCATGGTAAATTTTCATTATGTAGTATGCTCTCTGAAGGCACCAGTTCTGTAGGGTTTGGGCATTTACTGGGACAATTATTAATTGTAGCAGTAAATCACAAAATTGATTCTTTTGATGGCTTTAGAATCCAACCATGCGATATAACTCAAACAACGCACACACACAGGTACTAATACACAAGGATACATTTATTAATACATAGAATATGCATGTAAACCTAACAGATCTTATCGTGAGGGTTATCAGAATACAAAAGGTATATATTCAATCAGTTACGAAGTGTTACATATATCAAGAGGACATACGTTCAGTATATCATTCATTTAGACCATTTCGTAAATGAACTTGGTTATAACTTCTACATTAGATACTCAAAACAAGTACATAACTCTTAGGAATTAAATTGATATCAACTGGTTGGGATAACAATTGACATCTTGAGCTGTAATGCATTGAAGTTGAATACTCATCCAATCTCTAGGGATTCAGATCTCCTGCGGGCTCTCTGGCTCCGTAGCAGGCTGTGTTGTGCGGCTTGCGACGGTGCGCTGCTGATGCTCACTGACCGGCTAGTTAGTGTTGGCTTTAACTAGCACAGTTTGTGCACAGGAGAAAAGATGACTGTGGGTCCCAGCAAGTCAGGAAGAGGACCAGTTCGTTCCTGATGAAGCGCTTGTTCTGAATAGTGATTCAGCTGTCCACAGTTCTGACCTGTTCACGAGGCTTGCTGCTGATGCTAACCTTGGGTGGATCCTCTGGTTACTCTCTGGCAACCTCCGCTCTTGACTCTTAGAACAAAGGAAAGTTCTGGCACTTGGACACCCTGACCGTTCCGTAGTTGTCCGGGCTGAGTCTCAGGATGGTCAGGAGGCGCGCTGCGAGAATGTCCTGCCCTTGGGAGCCTTCTGCTCCCTGGAATTCTCCTTTGAATTCCCTTTAGAATTGTCTCAGAATAGTCCACTACAGGCTCTCTGTGTTGCCTGTTTTTACCTGGAGGAACTTCAGCTCGTTGATTGGCTGAAAGTTCAATGGGCATCAGAGTCCCACGTGGGTTACTCGGCCCTACCAGTCCCTGATTGGTTGATCAAGGTGAGATATGAGTCACTTACTCCTGAGACTTAGGAACGCAGTCCAGATGTCCATCTGGCACTCCCTAGACAGATAGGCGCCAATGGATGACCATTGATCATGATAGCCAGGCTTAGCTAAGTGCATCCCCATTTGGGAGCTGTCCCGTATCAAAAGAAAACATCTTTAAATCAGCCTGCATGAATAGCTTCTCTGTGGCTGCACCACAGAGATGAAGGGAGAGATGAGGCCTCATTTGGGAAAGCACAGCAACACTTAATTCTGTCTTATTAACAAGCATTGCCACTTCAATTATATTATTCATCAGGAAAATCTTTGTGGCAAGATTTGACAAAAATTATGAGCTTAATAATGGGCTGACTACAGTGGTGAATATAGTGAACTTTGTTGTTGCTTGATCTACTTTGATGCACAGGCATTTTCTAACTCTGGTTCAGGAGATTGATATTGCGTACAAGGACATTGCTTCACAGCAGTGTTCGTTGCCTAAGATGTGGGAAGGTTTTAGCATGGTTTACAGACTGCAATGCATGCAATCAAGATCTTTTTGTCAGAAAAATGTCAAAACTACCCTGGAATGCGTGATGAATCATGTGTTGCAAAAATAACGTTTCTATCCAACATCATCATGCACATGAATGAACTAACCTCTGTCTTCAGGGTGCAGATCAAACTGCTACAGTATATGGGCCTTTTTGAAATGTGGAAGGCATTTCAGGCAGACAGTCATTGGCTACCAATTGCCATCTATTGAAGACCTACAGTACAGTGGTGTGAAAAAGTGTTTGCCCCCTTTCTGATTTCTTATTTTTTTGCACGTTTGTCACACTGAAATGTTTCAGATCATCAAACAAATTGAAATATTAGACAAAGATAACACAAGTAAACACAAAATGCATTTTTTTAAAGACAGATTTTATTATTAAGGGAAAAAAAAATCCAAACCTACATGGTCCTGTGTGAAAAAGTGATTGCCCCCCCCCTTAAAACATAAATCACTGTGGTTTATCACATCTTTGGAAAACTGAGTTCAATTTCTCTAGCCACACTCAGGCCTGATTACTGCCACACCTGTTCTCAATCAAGAAATCACTTAAATAGGACCTGCCTGACAAAGTGAAGTACACCAAAACATCCTCAAAAGCTAAACATCATGCTGTGATTCAAAGAAATTCAGGAACAAATGAGAAAGAGTAATTGAGATTTATCAGTCAGGAAAAGGTTATAATGCCATTTCTAAAGCTTTGGGACTCCAGTGAACCACAATGAGAGCCATTATCCACAAATGGAGAAAACATGGAACAATGGTGAACCTTCCCAGGAGTGGCCGGCCGACCAAAATTACCCCAAGAGCGCAGCGACGACTCATCCAAGAGGTCAGAAAAAACCCCACAACAACATCCAAAGAACTGCAGGCTTCACTTGCTTCAGTTAAGGTCAGTGATCATGACTCCACCATAAGAAAGAGGCTGGGCAAAAATGGCCTGCATGGCAGAGTTCCAAGATGAAAACCACTGCTGTGCAAAAAGAACATAAAGGCTCGTCTCAGTTTTGCCTGAAAACATCTTGATGATCCCCAAGACTTTTGGGAAAATACTCTGTGGACTGACGAGACAAAAGTTGAACTTTTTGGAAGGTGTGTGTCCCATTACATCTGGTGTAAAAGTAACACAGCATTTCAGTAAAGGAACATCATACCAACAG